GAGACTGAAGACACAACATACCCAAACTTATGGGACACTTTGAAGGCAGTGCTACGGGGGAAGTTCATTGCAATAAGTGCCCACATGAAGAAACTGGAGAATAGTTTTACTAGAGAATTAACAGCACAGCTGAAAGCTCTAGAACACAAAGAAGCAAACTCACCCAGGAGGAGTAGATGCCAGGAAATAATCAAATTGAGGGCTGAAATCAATAAAGTACAAACTAGGAAAACAATACAAAGAGTCAATGCAACAAAGAGTTGGTTCTTTGAGAAAATCAACAAGATAGACAAACCTTTGTCCAAACTTACCAAACAGCAGAGAGTGAACATGCAAATTAACAAAATCAGAAATGAAAAGGGAGACATAACAACGGACCCTGAGGAAATTCAGAGAATCATCAGGTCATACTTTGAAAACCTGTACTTCACAAAATTCGAAAATTTAAAGGAAATGGACGACTTCCTGGATAGCTATCACTTGCCAAAATTAAATCAAGAATAGATAAGCAATTTAAATAGACCTATAGCCCCTATGGAAACAGAAAGACTCATCAGAAGTCTCCCAACCAGAAAAAGCCCAGGTCCAGATGGCCTTAGTGCAGAGTCTACCAGAAATTCAAAGAACAGCTTATACCAATTCTTCTCAAATTAGTCCATGCAATAGAAGCAGAAGGGTCTTTGCCAAAATCTTTCTATGAGGCTTCAATAACCTTGATCCCCAAACCACACAAAGACACAACTAAGACAACTAAGAAAGAGAACTTCAGACCAATATCCCTCATGAGCATTGATGCAAAAATACTCAATAAAATACTGACAAATCAGATCCAAGAACACATCAAAACACTCATTCACCACGATCAAGTAGGTTTCATCCCAGGGATGCAGGGATGGTTCAACATACGAAAATCCATCAATGTAATCCACCATATAGACAAGCTGAAAAACAAAAATCACATGATCATCTCACTAGATCCTGAAAAAGCCTTTGACAAAATCCAACACCCCTTTATGATAAAGGTCTTGGACAGATCTGAGATAACAGGAACATACTTAAACATAATGAAAGCTATATACAGCAAACCAACAGCCAACATCAAACTAAATGGACAGAAACTCAACGCGATTCCTCTAAAATCAGGAGCAAGACAAGGATGTCCACTCTCTCCATACCTTTTTTAACATTGTACTTGAAGTTCTAGCCAGAGCCACACTACAACAAAAGAAGATCAAGGGGATACAAATTGGGAAGGAAGAGGTCAAACTTTCACTCTTTGCAGATGATATGATAGTTTAAATAAACTACCCAAAGAATTCTACCAGGGAACTCTTAGAGCTGATTAACACCAACACCTTCAGCAAAGTGGCAGGCTACAAGATCAACTCAAGAAAATCAGTAGCCCTACTATATACAGATGATAAAAGGGCTGAAAAAGAAATCAGAGAAACATCACCCTTTACAATTGCCACAAACAATATTAAATACCTTGGGGTAATGCTAACCAAACAAGTGAAACACCTGTATCGCAAGAACTTTGAATCTTTAAAGAAAGAAATTAAAGAAGCCCTCAGAAAATGGAAAGATCTCCCATGCTCTTGGATAGGTAGGATCAATGTAGTAAAAATAGCAATCCTGCCAAAAGCAATCTACAGATTCAATGCAATCTCCATTAAAATCCCAGCACAATTCTTCACAGACTTTGAAAGAACAATAATCAATTTTGTATGGAAAAACAAAAGACCCAGGATAGCCAAAACAACCCTGTTCAACAAGGCAACGTCGGGAGGCATCACCATCCCTGACTTCAAGCTCTATTATAGAGCTACAGTCCTGAAAACAGCTTGGTATTGGCACAAAAATAGACAGGTAGACCAATGGAATCGAATTGAAAACCCTGATATTAACCCACACATGTATGAACATGAAGCTAAAAATATACAATGGAATAAAGAAAGCATCTTCAACAAATGGTGCTGGCATAACTGGAGGTTGGCATGTAGAAGACTGCAGATCGATCCATGTCTATCGCCAAGCACACAACTTAAGTACAAATGGATCAAAGACCTCAACATAAATCCAGCCACACTGAACCTCTTAGAAGAGAAAGTGGGTGGTACCCTTGAATGAATTGGTAAAGGAGACAGCTTCCTGAACATGACAGCAGTAGCACAGACAGTGAGATTAACAATTAATAAATGGGACCTCCTGAAACTGAGAAGCTCCTGTAAGGCAAAGGACATAGTCAGCAAGACAAAAAGGCCGCCCACAGAATGGGAAAAATATTCACTAACCCCACATCTGACAGAGGGCTGATCTCCAAAATTTACAAAGAAATCAAGAAGTAATTCTCCAGAACACCAAAAGATCCAATTAAAAAGTGGCCTACAGAACTAAATAGAGAATTCTCAATAGAGGAGTCTAAAAATGGCTGAGAGGCACTTGAGAAAGTGCTCAACATCCTTAGCCATCCGGGAAATGCAAATAAAAACAACTCTGAGATACCATCTCACTCCTGTCAAAATGGCTAAAATCAAAAACACCAATGACAATTTATGCTGGAGAGGATGTGGTGAAAGGGGGACACTCCTCCATTGCTGGTGGGAGTGCCAACTGGTTCAGCCACTTTGGAAATCAGTATGGAGATTCCTCAGAGAAATGGGAATAAACCTACCACAAGATCCAGCAACTCCACTCTTAGGCATATATCCAAAAGATGTCCATTCATACAACAAGGATGTCTGTTCCACTATGTTCATAGCAGCATTATTTTTAATAGCCAGAACTTGGAAGCAACCTAGATGCCCCTCACCTGAAGAGTGGATAGAGAAAATGTGGTACATTTACACAATGGAGTACTATTCAGCAGGAAAAAGTGGAATCCTGAGATTTGCAGGCAAATGGATGACACTAGAAGAAACCATCCTGAGTGAGGTAATGCAGTCACAAAAAGAGAAACATGGCATGTATTCTCTCATATATGGATTTTAGACATAGATCTGGGGAGTGCCAGCCTACAATCCCTCGGCCAGAGAGTCTGGGAAACAGAACCTTCATTTTGTGGCTGATGGAAGAAGAGGCAGACTCCCATGGCTAAGCACTGAGCTGAACTCAAGAAAGCCAGTAACAGAGAGGGAGGACTGATGACCAAAGGGATTAAGACTGGGCTGCTTTAACCCCCAGAAACAGCTGACCTGACAAGGGTTAACTCTTGAATTCCAGGCTAATGCCTAGGAATGCAGCATGGGACTGATCAAGACCCCCTGACTGGGGGTGTCATTGAGGAGGCCTAGGTAATCTATTGAGCCTTGGGCAGTAGATCAGTATTCATCCCGAGTATACACATGGACTTTGGACTCCCATCCAACAATGTGAGATGCACTCTCACCCTGAACTCTTGGGGGATGGTCTGGGCCCTGCCCTGGATGAAATGACAGACTGTGGACACCCCCATTGAGGGCCTTACCCTCCCTGGGGAAATGAGGGGATATTGGGGGGTTTGGGGGAAGGACACGGGAGGAGGGGAGGGAAATGGAGAGGGACCTGGAACTGACTTGTGAAGCAATCTTGTTTCTAATCTAAATTTAAACTTCAAAATAAATAATAAAAAATAAAAAAAGAAGCTCCCAACCATCTATAACTCCATTTCTCCTGAGGGATCCAATGCCTTCTTCTGATCTCCACAGGTATTTACATAATGCATAAACACACATACAGGCAAGCACTCATACACACAAAAAAGTGATTTTTTAAAGCCAGGCAGAAAGGAAATACACTACTTGATCATGACTCAAGACACAGAGTTATTCATGTTATTACTTTACATCCCTGGAGTGATTTCTATTTATCAAGCACCGTGTGAAAAAGACATTCTTATTCACATTTTATATAATGACCTCAACACCCTCCTTTGGGGCAGAAGTTGTTTGTGTGTGTGTGTGTGTATCACTTTTACAAATAGAGAAGCTGATGTTTAATCGAGTAAACTATTTCACATTTGTTTTATGTTGGTAAGAAAGAGGCCACAGTTAAACTTTAATCTAAAATATCCCAATGGAAACTTTTGTTCCTAACAACTATGCTCGAGTCTTAGTCTCTTTATGTGTGGGGAAGACTTCTTAAAGTGAAAGCCTGTCCTTTAACATAAGAGGAAGTTTCTTGGACCCAAAGAAGGGAATTCTCACAGGAGAATAAGGTGGGGGACCTTGGTAAAGGGCAGCCAGTCCCATCGCCATCACTCCAGAGGACAATTAGTACTCAGAAGATGTTAGTTCTAATGACTGTTCAGCTTCACACTTTGGACCCGGGAGTGGTTGCAGTGGGCACCCTCTGGGAGGTGGAGAGGGGCTATCTCTACCCATTAAAGTAGCAAACTCCCACAAGTCATTTGGAAACTTTAGTAACAAAGGAGCAGGCATTCCATAAGTATGCATTTTTGTTTACATAAAGTCAATGAGCTTTTTAAAAAATGATGAAACCAGAAATGAAGCACACCGCAGTGGGAAATGCAAAATAAACAGATTACAGAAGAGGTCATGGATGGAAAGCCACTAACACCTTCTCTTGTGGCACAGATCTCAAGATACTTCTGCCTAAAAAAATTCAGTAAGTCTAACTCATTCCTTTCCACTTCATCTCCAGAAAAATACAACATTTCAGCTTATCCCAGCTCTAATCTGTAAAAGGGCAGAGAAACACTGCCAAGTCCTAAGGCTGCATAGGTCAGGCTTTGTACATATTGAGTCCTTACAACCATGCCTGGTACTTAGCAACTATTAAATAGGTATTCACAATTATATTATGATTGTTATTGTATGTTAACATTATTGTTTATGACTAAAAATATATATTATGGGACGGGGGTGGTACATGCCTTTAATCCCAGTTCTAGACCAGTCTGGTCTACAAGAGCTTGTTCTAGGACAGCCTCCAAAGCCACAGAGAAACCCTGTCTCAAAAAACCAATATATACATACATGTATTTTATTATAACATTCCAGGCATAATAACTGACCGGCCACTGGGTTGAACTGAGGATAACAATGGAACACATTCGTCCATTCCATAAATATTTGCCAGATGCCCGTGACTTGAGGGGAGATTCAACATCTTAGACTACTCCAGATCAGAAGCAGATGCAACGTGAGTGACAAGAAACAGTTTAGAGGCATGCTTGCACAGAGGCAAGCATGGACAGTCAGATACCATAGAAGTGAGAAAATATCAACAACTCGAACTTCACAGATGAATCGTGGCAAAGGCTCTTTAGCCTTTTTAGACCACATCTGTGTTCACTTTTGTCCTGACACAACTATCAACCTGTCTTTCTTAACTGTCAAGTGTGCACAGGCTTACCTCATGTGTTTAGAATAATAATCTGATCTGGCTGAAGATATCTAAGCTGAAATTTGCTGATCACTGTCCTAACAAAACCCTCTTTCTTCCATTTACTTTTCTCTGGGAAATCCTGGTGCCTGGCACTTCTTGACCCACAGCTAAGCCAGTATCAGTCACTTCTGGAATTTTCTCTCCCAACTCACAGAAATTATAGCCCTTCTATCCTGTATCTATGATGGTTAAATTGGTAAAATCCAAATTTTCATCTTTCTATTAATTTTGTGTAGTGACTTATAGGAAAACTTTTAACTATTTTCTAATCTTCAGATGTACGTATATATATTTTTGTCTTGGTTTTGTTATGTGGAAAAATAAATTGTTAAACTATGATTTGATTCCCTGCCCCTCCCATACACATAGACACACTTCAAAAATTATAGTCTTTCATATTCATTTCCTTGTTCTAGAGTCTTATGTTAAATATATATAAAGCATCAAAACAATCAACTTTATTTTACCTTGCTTTGGCTTATATTTTTAAGTCAGGAAGTCTAAAGTAGCCACAGAAAACTTAATTCCAAAAGGACCTGAAACACAGCTGATTCGAACTTGTCAATTTTTGCTTTGGTAAAGTGAAGCTCTGGGGAGGAGAAGGGCTTTCCACTGCTGGAAAGTTGCTGGGGACAAAATCCTGTTTCTCACTTCTAGTCTGTTTTTACTCCATTAGACTATATCTCTTTTAGTTAACAAGACATATACCATACAGATTTTAAATAATGCCAATGAATTATCTTAAGGTGACAACTTGTTTGTCCAGATGTCTGTCTGGAATTGTTAATAGTTTGTGATCTTCCAGACCCCAACCTCTGTGTGTGTGTGTATGTGTGTGTGATACATGTTCATGCGTGTGAAAGTGTGTAAAGGGAACATGCATGCGAAGGCCAGAGGTGAACAGAAAGCACATTCCTTAATGACTCGTCACCTGATTTTCTAAACAAAGCATATTCCTTAATGACTCGTCACCTGATTTTCTAAACAAAGCATATTCCTTAATGACTCGTCACCTGATTTTCTAAACAAAGCATATTCCTTAATGACTCGTCACCTGATTTTCTAAACAAGCGTCTTTTGAGTTCACTGATTTTGCTGCTACCCTGGTTGATCAGAGAGCTCCAGGCATCCTCCTGTCTCTGCCATACCAACCCAAGGCCCAGTGCCAGGATTACAGACATGTATAGCTAGGCTTTTTTCATAGCTGTTAGGGAGCCACACCCAGGTCCTCAAAATTGTGCTGATATCTTCCTGGTGAAGTCAAATCGACAGTACCATGTTTTGTTTTGTTTTTATTTTAGACAGAGTGCCATGTGTTGGCTTTGAAGTAACTATATAGTCAAGAGTCATGATGAATTTCTAATCGTTTTCAGTCAGCATTCCCAGTTTATGTGGTACTGGGAATCAAAGTCATGCCTTTGTGCATGCCATACAAGCAGTCTATCAACTGAGTTAGATCTCCAGCCCCAAGTTGTTCTTCTTAAAGTTACAAACACAACCTCCCTAAACTCAGGATTATCCTTTCTTTTAAGCAGGAAGCTTGCCTATGGCTGGAGGAAGAAACAACACAGTTGTGACCAGATTCATCCTCCTGGGGTTTTCAGATCAACCTCAAATGAAGATTTTCCTTTTCATGCTCTTTCTGGGAATTTACCTCCTGACCCTAGCCTGGAACCTGAGCCTCATCACCCTCATCAGGATGGACACTCACCTCCACACACCCATGTACTTCTTCCTCAGCAACCTCTCCTTCCTAGACATCTGTTATTCGTCCTCTACTGCCCCCAAGATGCTCTCTGACATCATCACAGATCAGAACACCATTTCCTTTGTTGGCTGCGCCACACAATACTTTGTCTTCTGTGGACTGGGGCTGACTGAATGCTTCCTCCTGGCAGCCATGGCCTATGACCGGTATGCTGCAGTGTGCAACCCACTGCTCTACATGGCTCTCATGTCCCATACTCTGTGTTTGAAGTTGGTGTTTGGCGCCTATATGGGTGGCTTCCTTAGTTCTCTGATTGAAACATGTTCTATCTACCAGCATGATTTCTGTGGGCCCAACATAATCAACCATTTCTTCTGTGACCTTCCTCCAGTCCTGGCTTTGGCCTGCTCTGACATCTTCACCAGCCAGGTACTGGCCTTCATTTTTGGTGTTGTTGTGGGGGTAATGTCTGTCCTAGTGATCCTCATCTCTTATGGATACATTGTTGCTGCTGTCCTAAGGATCAGCTCAGCTAAAGGTAGGATCAAGGCCTTCAGCAGCAGCGCATCTCACCTGACTGCTGTGACCCTCTTCTATGGCTCTGGTCTCTTCATGTACATGAGACCCAGTCCCAGATATTCCCTCAGCCAAGACAAGGTAGTGTCTGTATTCTATGCTGTGGTGATTCCTCTGGTGAACCCCATTATCTATAGCCTCAGAAATAAGGACATTAAAAATGCCATGAGGAAAGCTGTGGAAAGGGACTACATACTTTCTCATGGGCATTCATTTTTCTGACACTGGGTAGTGTTTGTTTACATGAAGATCTGAACAGATCAATGTTTCAGAAATTTATGTAGCTTTGACTACTTGATCTTCAAGATGATCTGAATGATTTCTAAGATAAACAGCACGAATACATTGAGGTTCCAAATGTTCTCCTTAGTAGAAAACCTCACCATGACAAAATAATATTCTATAACATCAAAATACCACTTGTCTGTACTTTAGATATGAGACATGAGAAATTGAGCTGGAGCTCAGATGGAAGCCTCCTCCTTGCTGGCTACCATCAATAGCACCACAGGGTGTTATATAGGCTGTTAGGAGGGAAGTCATCAACAATATCACCTAGCCAAGGACCTTGCCTATTACAATAGCCAACTGATTGATAATATATGCTCTCTGGACCAAGAGTGGCACGAATATTCTAGAGGAAGTCTATAATTTCCTGGTTGGATCTGAAACCTGTTCTATTGGAGGGAATATATGCACCTGGTACTATAAACATGACCTAAAGACTGTGGCTAAGGAGGTCACACCACTTTGTGAGAGTTTCCTGATAATTCACTACTAACAAATGGATATGTAGTTCTGGGCATGATATCTTATGCCTTAAATCCCAGCACTTGACACAGAAGCAGGCTGATCTCTGTGAGTTCAAGACCAGCCTGGTCTACAAAGTAGATTACAAACCAGCCAGGCTACACAGTGAGTCTCAGTTTAAAAGCAAACAAAAAGTATGGAAACTGCCTTCCAAGTATTTATGCTTATATCCTTAAATAATGCAGCTCTTAGTCTTTGTCAGAGAAGTCTTTTGTTAGTGGAAGCTGATTAAACAGAGATTCATGACTGGTCAAGGTGCTGAGAATAAGTGACTTTTGAGTGTTCAACTTTAAATGGTGCATTTATATGACCTGCTCTGTCCCCCAAGGTTCTGGGAATAACATGGACAAGGAGAAAAAGGAATGCAAAAGCATGAGCTTGGGGGTGAGTGCTATGAAATTCTATCTTCTAAAAATGACATGGCTATTGAACTCCTGAATTCACAGCAACTTTGGTTACCTGTACAAGATCTACAGGAGATAGAGTCCTCCAATGTCCTATATACTCCTAACTTAAGAATCATTGGAAGCTAATGGTTCCTGAGATAGAGTGGGGCCACATTTCTTCATTTCTTTATTTCCCTCTGTTAAACTGTCCAAGATCCAGTAAACAGCTTCACATCCATGCAAATGCAATAAATTGCAGTTAAACTCAGTGGGCTATTTTAAAATGAGACCAAAAAACCATGAAAAGAAGAGCAGGAAGTGTTGTGAAGAATAATATTTCCAGAAGGAAAATAAGGGGGACAAGAGAGAATAATGGAAGGTGAATATGATCCAAACACATTATATACTTGTAGAAATTTTTAAAGAAACTATCAGGTTATATTTTTAAAAGAAATACATTAGCCGGGCGGTGGTGGCGCACGCCTTTAATCCCAGCACTCGGGAGGCAGAGGCAGGCGGATCTTTGTGCGTTCGAGGCCAGGCTGGACTGATAGCCTCCGAAACAATACAGAGAAACCCTGTCTCGTAAAAACAAAAAACAAAAAAACAAAAAAAAAAGAAATACATTATTTTATCTAAAGCCTTCATACTTATGTTCATTCAAAATATTAATGGTTTGCCAAAGAACAGTGTATAGGTACTTGTATGGTTAGGGTTCCTTTTTTGAGTTTCATTATTTTACTATCTTTAATTATGAATTAAAGCATGTGTGTGTGTTTGTGTGATGTCTAGTTTTTTTATTTAACTTTTTATGCATGTCACTTTCAGTTCCCTCTCTCTTCCCTTCTCCCCGACTCCCAAATCCTCCCAAACACTCACCCATACTCCATTCCCCCTCCGCTCCCCAGGGAGGGCAAGGGCCTCCATGAGGGATTTTCAGAGTCTGCCACATCATCCCAGGAAGGGCCCATGTTCTTCCCCATGTGTCCAGGCTGAGAGAGCATCCCTCCATGTGGTATGGGTTCCCCAGAGTCCATCTGTATGCCAGGAATAAATACTGCTCCACTTTCCAAGGCCCCACAGATTGCCAAGGCCTCCTCTCTGTCACTCAGGTTCAGTGGGAGGGTGTCTGGATCAGTCCCATGCTGGCCCCTCAGTCATGAGTCTGGGGTCCATGTGCTCCCCCTTGTTTAGGTCAGCTGCCTCTGTGGGTTTGGCCCGCCTGATCTTGATTCCTTTGGTCATTACTCTTCTTTGCAACTAGGTTCCAGGAGTTCAATTCAGTTCATAGCTGTGGGTGTCTGCCTCTGCCTCTGCCTCCATCAGCCACTGAATGAGAGTTCTAGGATGGCATATAAGGTAGTCATCATTCTCATTATCATGGGAGGGCATTAAAGATAGCCTTAATACCATTTGGTATCATTCTTGTAGATCTGTGAAGATCTCACTTGTGCCAGATCTCTCCTCCAAATTATACAGGCTCCCTCTTTTCTGGTATCTCCCATCCTTTTCTCCTCTATTCTTACCCTGGCTCAACATTCCTGCTCTCCCATGTCTTCCTCTCCCCTCCTCTTTTCTGCTTCTCTTTCGCCCATCTCCTTCTATGCTCCCTTTCTCCCCCCAAACCAATTAGGAGATCACATCTCCTAACCATTCTCCAGATTACCATGCATATCTCTCTTAGGGTCCTCCCTGCACCACAGACTCTCTGGTGGTGGGATTGTGGGCGGGCTATGCCCTGTTCCATGTCTAAAATACATACACGAGTGAGTACATACCATGTTTGTCTTTTTATGACTGGGTTACCTCACTCAGGATGGTTTCTTCTATTGCCATCCATTTGCCTGTAAATTTCAAGATTCCTTTTTTTTCTGCTGAGTAGCACTCCATTGTGAAAATGTACCACATTTTCTCTATGCACTCTTTAATTGAGGGGCATCTAGGTTCTTTCCAGGTTCTGGCTATTACAAATGATGCTGCTATGAGCATAGTTGAGTACATGTCCTTATTGTCTGAGGGGACACCTTTTAGGAGTATGCCTAAGAGTGGAATTGCTGGATCTTGTGGTAGACTGATTCCCATTTTTCTGAGGAATCTCTATACTGATCTCCAAAGTGGCTACATAAGTTGACATTCCCACCAACAGTGGAGGAGTGTTCCCCTTTCTCCACATCCTCTCCAGCATAAACTGTCATTAATGTTTTCAATTTTAGCCATTCTGATGGGAGTGAGATGGTATCTCAGAGTTGTTTTGATTTGCATTTCCCTGATGGCTAAGTATGTTGAGTACTTTCTCAAGTGTCTCTCAGCCATTTTAGAATTCTCAATTTAGTTCTGAAGCCCACTTTTTAATTGGATCCTTTGGTGTTTTGGAGACTTGCTTCTTGAGTTCTTTGTAAAATTTGGAGATTAGCCCTCTGTCAGATGTGGGGTTAGTGAGTATCTTTTCCCATTCTTTGGACTGTCGTTTTGTCTTGTTGACTGTGTCCTTTGCCCTGCAGAAGCTCCTCAGTTTCAGGAGGTCCTATTGATTAATTGTCGATCTCAGTGTCTGTGCTACTGATGTTATGTTCAGGAAGCAGTCTCCTGTACCAATTCGTTCAAGTGTACTTCTCACTTTCTCCTCTAAGAGATTCAGTGTGACTGGATTGAAGTTGAGGTCTTTGATCCATTTGTACTTAAGTTTTGTGCATGGTGATATATATGGATCTATCTGTTGTCTTTTACATGCCAGCATCCAGTTACTCCAGCACCGTTTGTTGAAGATGTTTTCTTTTTTCCATTGTATAGTTTTAGCTTCTTTGTCAAAGATCAGGTATTCAAAGGAGTGTGGGTTGATATTAGGGTCTTCAATTCGATTCCATTGGTCTACGTGTCTGCTTTTGTACCAACACCAAGCTGTTTTCAGGACTATAGCGCTATAATAGAGCTTAACGTCAGGAATGGTGATGCCTCCGGAAGTTCCTTTATTGTAAAGGGTTGCCTTGGCTATCTTGGGTCTTTTATTTTTCCATATAAAGTTGAGGATTGTCCTTTCGAGGTTGGTGAAAAATTGTACTGGGATTTTGATAGGGATTTCATTGAATCTGTAGATTGCTTTTAGTAAAATTGCCATTTTTACTACATTGGTCCTACTTGTCCAAGAGCATGGGAGACCTTTCCATTTTCTGGTATCTTTTTAAATTTCTTTCTTTAAAGACTCAATGTTCTTGTTATACAGGTCTTTCACCTGTTTGGTTAGAGTTACCCCAAGATATTTTGTGGTGTTTGTGGCTATTGTAAAGGGTGATGTTTCTCTGATTTCTTTCTCATCCTCTTTATTGTCTATATATATAGTAGGGCTACTGATTATTTTGAGCTAATTTTGTATCCTGCCACTTTTCTGAAGGTGTTTATCAGCTGTAGGAGTTTCCTGGTAAAATTCTTTGGGTCACTTATGTAGACTATCATATCATCTACAAATAGTGAAAGTTTGACTTCCTCCTTTCCAATTCATATCCCCTTGATCTCCTTTTGTTGTCTTACTGCTCTAGCTAGAACTTCAAGTACAATAATGAAGAGATATGGAGAGAGTGGACATCCTTGTCTTGTTCCTGATTTTAAAGGAATTGCCTGTAGTTTCTCTCCATTTAGTTTTATTCTGGCTGTTGGTTTGCTGAATATAGCTTTTATTATGCTTAGATATGTTCCTGTTATCACTGATCTCTCCAAGACCTTTATCATGAAGGGGTGTCGGATTTTGTCAAAGACTTTTTCAGCATCTAGTAAGATGACCATGTGGTTTTTCTTTTTCAGATTATTTATGTGGTGGGTTACATTGATGGATTTTTATTTGTTGAACCAAATTTTTTTGCATCCACTAAATTGGAAAAATCTAAAGGAAATGGATGATTTTCTGGATAGATATCATTTACCATAATTAAATCAAGAAGAGATAAACAATTTAAACAGAACTATATCCCCTAAGGAAATAGAAGCAGCCATAAAAAGTCTTCTAACTAAGAAAAGTCCAGGGCCAGATGGTTTCAGTGTGGAATTCTACCAAAAATTCAAGGAAGAGCTAATACCAATACACTTCAAATTGTTCCACACAATAGAATCAGAAGGATCACTGACAAAGTCTTTATAAGAGGCTACAATTACATTAGTAGCCAAACCACACAAAAACAAAACCAAGATAGGAAATTACAGACCAATCTGCCTCATCAACATTGATGCAAAAATACACAGTAAAATACTGGCGAATCAAATCCAAGAACACATCAGAAAAATCATACACCATGATCAAGTAGGCTTCATCCCAGCTTTTGTCGATGAATCTATTTCCTCTATTTTATCTTCAGCACCTGAGATTCTGTCTTCCATCTCTTGTATTCTGTTAGTTATGCTTTCATCTGTAGTTCCTGATTGTTTTTTCAGCCTTTCACTTTCCAGCATTACCTCAGTTTGTGTTTTTCTTATTGTCTCCATTTTGGTTTTCAGGTCTTGAACTGTTTGAATTGTTTCCTTCATCTGTTTGATTGTTTTTTTTCTTGGCTTTCCTTGCTTTCTTTAAGAGATTTGTTGATTTCTTGCATTTTTTGATTTGTGTTTTCTTCCATTTCTTTTAGGGATTTTCTCATATCCTCTTTGAGGGTCTCTTTTATTTTCAGGAGTTTGCTTTGAAGATCATTTTTCCTGTTTCATCTGTGTTAATATGTTCAGGTCTTGCTGGTGTAGAGTTTCTAGACTCTGGTGGTGTCATACTGGTTCCTCTGTTGTTGGCTGTGTTTTTATATTGCTTTCTTCCCATCCTTTTTTCAATGGGAGCCCATGGGGTCTCTTCCTCTCCTGGTGGGTTGGGGTCTACTGATCATTTCCAGTGCGTTCAAGCAGGTCCAGTACTTCAATGGGTGCAGGTGGGTCTGGGACACTCTCAAGCACTGGTCAGAGACCAGAGTGGACTAAAGACTTAAACATCAGGTAAGCACCAGAAGACACAGGTGTGGGCAGACTCAGGGTGATCCTTCTGGGAGGGGCAGGTACTCTCTTAAGCACCAGGAAAGAAGTGGAAGATACTGAAGACTGAGGTGTGGGCAGATTCAGGGTGATCCTTCCGGGAGGTGCAGGTCCTCTCTAGGCGCAGAAAACGCCCAGGGAAATGGAGCAGGGGGATGTAGGGAGTTGGGGCTCAGAGCAGGGTTCCCACTCACCTTAAGCACTGGGAAAGGAGGGGATGAAACTGAAGACTGAGGTGTGGGCAAACTCAGGGTGGTCCTTCCTGGAGGGGCAGGTCCTCTCTAGGTGCAGAAAACGCCCAGGGAGACAGAGCAGGGGGAGATGTAGGGAGTTGGGGCTCAGAGCAGGGCCCCCACTCACCTTAAGCACCAGAAAAGAGTCTGAAGACCGTGTTGTCTAGTTTTAAATGTCTGTTTGTTACAGCCTAGCACCACATAGCAAGAGGACCCGAAGGAAGAATTGCTTAGATCCAGCTAGTCTCCTGTGGAAGACTGTCTTGAGTGCCATAATGGTGCATGAATGTTGATAGCAACATTTCATCAACAGCACTTTGTGTATGAATGAAGCGAGCAGGAAGCAGGCAATTAAATAAGCGTGCATTGGGTCTCTCTGTCTCATGAATATGGATGTGATGTGACTAGCTGCTTCTGCTCCTATGTTGAGCTCCCCTCAAGGATGTAACTAGGAATTGTAAGCCTAATAAACCCTTTCCTCCCTTGCTGTTGATTTTTGCTGCCATCTTTTATCCCAGGAACAGAAATGAAACTCAAACACAAATTGGCGCTGAGGAAATGGAGTTGTTCCTGTGATAAAACTGACTCTGTTGTTTGGGCAGAGAAATCTGAGAGACTCTGCAGCTTTGGTCTGGAAAAGCTATTGGATGTTACTGGAAACACCCACTGAGACATTTTAATGAAAGCTTGGAAGACAGTAATACTGAAAGCAATGTGGGCAGTGGAGGCCTAGCTCATGAAGTTTCAGGGTGACGAGGACTTTACTAGAAACTGGGTCAGGGACCATTCATGAGATATTTTGACTAAATATGCATGTGCTGATTAGGCTGGGACTAAAGAATCTGTTGTAATTAATAAGAAACATTTACTGTTGAATGGAAAGTTGTGTTTCATTGTGACAACAGGAAAGTATTTCATTAGGACTAGCATACAGAAACTCAACCAACTGTGGTCCAAATGGGCCAGGCTGGCTACACCAGAATTTTACAGAAAAACTTGGCAATAATATAGGAGATGTCCACATGGTACTAGTGTTAAAGGAATAAAGTGATCATGGAGAGAAGCTGAGGTCTGGCACTGTGTGAAAGCAAGGACTCAGTTGCAGTAGAGACCCCAGGATGCTGAGAGGCCAGAATTATTGGTTATCTCCCAAGGGTAGCCGTGGGTGTGGAACTGAACCAGGCTAAGATAGAAACTGTGTGGTGGAAAGGGCAGAACTGGGGGATGGGGTCACCAAAGCCCTCTGGAGCCCCAAAGATCACAAGCCACAGATAATCAGACACTAAACAACTAGACTTGGTATTTATACTGTTGGGCTTTGGTTTGACTTAAGCATGATTGTTCACTTACTGTGCTGCAGTTCTTCCTTTTTGGAACAAGAATGTTTAAGTGGTAACTTTTTAAATCTATTTTATAGGAGCTTGTGGTTAAGAGACTTTGGGATTTTTAATGTTTTGCACCTTTGAAGTATTGAAATTGCTTAAGACTTTTGGAGCTTTCTAGAGTGTGACTTTGTTTTGTATTATAAGAGTAACATGAGACTTTGGAGACAAGAGATTAAATAATTATGCTTGGGGTAATGTTTGTGTGTCAAGGTGACAAGGTGTGGATTATGAAGGATAATTTTAAATGTCAACTTGCCACAGCCTAGAATCATATGGGAAGAAAGTCTTAATGAAGGATTGCCTAGATCAGGTTGATCCATTTGGGGGATTGTCTTTATTGCCTTATTTGGGACAGGTAAAAGGACCCTGAATATAGGTGGTACCATTTCATGGGCGGGGCCTTCAGCTGTACACGAATATAGAAAGCAGGAAATAACAGGCAAGGATCCCTTTGTTCTCTCTCCACTCTGAAATGTGGATGTGATGTGGCAATGGAACTGTTCCTTCCTAGACTTCACTTCAGTGATTAAACTGTAACTTGGGGTTGTAAACCAAATAAGTCCCCCTTTGCCCCTTCATTGCTTCTTATGTCTTATCAAACCAACAAAAATGAAATTAGAACAGCACTCATTTTTATATCATCCTAATACAGTGGTCCTCTGTAAGTGACATGAGAGCAAATAAGACACAAAAGAAAAAGAAAAGAATCTTCTAACCACTAATAAATGGGACTTTTTCACACTTGAAAAAAATTTCAGCATATTCTGTGTTCTATTAAGTACACAGAGTACTAAAATGGGTTACATTTAAATTTTACTGTATCCTTTTGACATTTTTGATAGAATATCAATGCAAAATAAAATGCCAGAGATATAAAGGCTTTTGTTACAAATTACCTTCCTAGAAAATTGTGTAATTTTCATTTATATACTTGTCTTGCCATTTTGTTGTAATTAGTAGTACAGTTGGCTTTGCAAATTGCAAAAGGTATATATTTACACTTTTAAAATTATTTGAAGATCTGAGGATAAATTTTAATTAGCAAAGTGTCTGCCATGTAAGCATGAGCGCCTAAGTTTGAACCTCAGGACTCAAGTAAAAATCCAAGATTGAACATCATCCTAAATGGAGAAACCCAAAACATTCTCACTAAAGTCAGTAACAAGACACAGGTGTTCATTCTCTACCTTCTTATTCAGTGTATTGCCTAAAGTCCTAGCAAGAGCAATAAGACAAGAGAAGGAAATTAAAGAGAAAAGTCAAAGTATTCCTATTTGTACATGACATAATCCTAAAGACACCACCAAATAACTCATACATGATAAATACTTTCAGCAAAACACCAGGATACAAAATTAATCTACAAAATTCAGTAACCATCCTATATATCAATTAAAAATACACTGAGAAAGAAATGGGGGAACAACCCCCACTTAAAGTAACCTCAAAAAACAAGACCCTTTGGAGGAAATAAGAGCCTCTATAATGAAAACTTTAAAATAATGAAGAAGGAAGATGCTAAAAGGTGCAAAGAATTCCTATGTTCATGGATTTGTCAGAAGCAACATCATAAAAATGGACATCCAAAAATCTACATGTTCAGTGCAATCCCATCAAAAAATTATACTAAATGAGGTAACTGAGGTCCAGAAAGACAAATGTCTCACATTCTCTTTGAAGATCCCAGCTTCAAATCTTTAGATCTGTGGGCTTTAATGGAATACTTGTATAAAATAGGGCCCCAGAAAAGGATCTTGTGTTGAATACCTCAAGAGATAGAGCACAGCAGAACACAGGTGATACGGAAACAGAAGAATACTAGGGGTGTGGAATGATTAAGAAGGCACAGATGGATGGGATAGGTGAGACAAAGAGGAAATAAAGGAGAACTAACCCCAAAAGGGGGTATATGGAAAACCCATATGGCAGCCTATTACTTTGTAAGTCAACTAAAATGGTGATAACCTACATGGCTGAATAATGAGAAGCCTGACAGTCTTTCTTCAAGTATAGGTGTTCAAGTGCCTTCTCTCAGCTCCTGTCATATGCTTGCACATTTCTATAACATCTTTTGGTAGAAATTAGATTTAATTTTTATTTGATTGTAGGCTGATGACACCACCATGATATGTATTGTTTATAGTAAACAAGAGTGTGACCAAAATAATAAAATCTAATTGAAGCATACACACCATGAGTTTATTGCTATCATATAGACTTTAAATGCACTGCCATGATGTCCCTGTGCTTTTACAGATCAGAACAAAAGGTTCCTAGAAAGATGGTCATTTGTCAAGTTAGATGTGGGACGCAATCTCCAGATTTCCTAAATTTGACAGACTGTTCATTCTGGCCTCACTGATATACTCCAGGGAATTATTTCTTTCTTCTCAACTTTGTGGTGCCAAGGTGCCAGGCACAGTGCTTAATGGCTCATAGGTTCTGGGAAACTGTTAAATATTTGAATGTATTGGGCTTTGAAAGTGAACAGCCTAGGTATCCATCAGCTGATCAATGGGTAATATAAATACAGTGCATAGATGTGATGGGATTTTACTCAGCTGTAAAGAAAATAAAATCATGTAACTTGACAAATAAATGGATATAACTTGAAAAAAATCATACTGACTGATGCAATCCAGACACATAAAGAAAAAAGTTACACACACACTCACACACTCACACAGATGCTTGCTTTGAACCTTTAGATATATATGATTAACTTGAAGTACCTTTAGAAAACAGGGAAGTAGAAATAGGCCAATGGGATGAGACTATAAAGAAAAGTTTTAAGACAGGAGATAGCAGAATACAGGTGCCATGGAAGAGAAAAGGGGAAATGGAAGGTGAAAGATTTAAATGGGTGAGGGTTGGGAGGATGAGGCAAAGGAAGGGATGGGAAAGGATAACAAATACTTAAGATGCTTAGGAAAGTCACAGAAACCTACAAGTTTAGAAGTTTCCATGCGCACATGTGTGTGTGTGTGTGTGTGTGTGTGTGTGTGTGTGTGTGTGTGTGAGTTTAATTGGAAGTAACCTCGCCCTGATGCCACAGGTTATGAAAGAAAATCCTTGGTGCCAGATATGAGATGTTGCTGTTAGAGAGTGTTAACCCTCTCCCAAATAAAACAGGGCACTGCTCTTGGTTACCAATTAGAATTAGACAGTAAAATACTATTGTTAAAGGCACATACATTTGGGTCACGGAATATATAGAAATACTAGTACTGACCTGGAAGCTTTTTCCTGCTGGCTAGTTTTCACAGTGCCAAAAGGTGCTATACAAGCTACTGAGGGATAAAAGTTATCAACAGTTTTATACAGATGAAAACTGTGTTAGTTACAATAATTACAGAAAGATATGTTTTCCGGCGCAGTTGTGGCATGAATGTAACTGGGTTAACCAATTTCTGGTTAGATTTAAGGCCCACACCACAGGGTGGAACTCAAACTTGGAACCATTAAACTGGCCAAGAACCAATAGGTGGAGAAATTGTAGCCTTTAGAGAAGAATCTACTTCCATTGTTTTGTTAAATGAACATGGTATCACACTGCCTTCTAAACACATATCTATTCACCTATAGATTAGTGTCCCACTCGTCCCTCATCAAAGATTCCTTTTTGTTCAGTGAACAGCAGTCTGATGGGGAACTCCTTCTGTGTATATGTTTGTCTTATTGGTTGGTGAATAAAGCACTGTTGGCCAATAGGGAATCAAGATAGGTAGGACTGGGAAAGGTGGAGAATTCTGGAAAACAGAGGCACAGTCAGTCACTATGTAGGACTCGAGAGAAGAGGTACAAACCCTTTCTCTGATAAGGGAACACATGGGAATACCTAGATTAGCAGTTATGGGTTAATAATTAAGTCAGAGCTAACCAATAAGAAATCATAGCAAACGGCCAACAGATTCATAATTAATATAGCCTCCTGTGTGTTATTTGGGTTTGATGCGTCTCTGGGACCAGGCTAGTGGGAAGAATGCTCATAACAGCAGTCAAAGAGACTCACATAGCTGGTTAGAGTGCAGAGAAAAAGTAACTGTGGAGTGTTGATCCCTAAATATTATAACACACACATATAAACACACACACTCATCATCATCATCATCATCCTCTTCCTCCTCCTCCTCATCATCAACAACAAGAGGGGGAGGGGCAGAAAGACTGTACAAAGCCAGCAGATGGGAAGGACTGTTGTACAGCAGTTATTTCTGGACATGTAAGGGCCATTGCATTTGTAAAGTTGTAGCAGTTATGGTTACCTACACAGACCAAACTAGTCAAATTCCAGAACAGATGGGGAGGATCAAAGGAGCCCACCACTAGCTGAAGAGCTTTGGAAGCTGAAGGCAGCTGGGATAACAAGATTCAAATTCCTTCAAGAAAGGGTCTCCTGAGAAGTTGTCCACAGTCTAGTAGATGGCCCTACAACTATAGACCTATCAATAGCACTGAAAGGACCCAGTGGAGAATGCAAAAAGAAAATGAAGAAAGGCAGATCCCTGGTGTAAGGTCTGGGAGGAGTTAGAGGGGGAGCCAGTGGTTGGTATGATCAAAATTTATTGTAAACATGTGTGAAACTCCCAAATAATAAATAAGGAAGGGAACGTGGGAAACTTCGGAGGGAGGAAATGGAAGGGAGAAATTAGGTAATATTATAATCTCATTTGTAATAGCCAGAACCTGGAAGCAACCTAAATGCCCCTCAACTGAAGAGTAGATAGAGAAAATGTGGTACATTTACACAATGGAGTATTACTCAGCAGAAAAAAAAAACAATGGAATCTTGAAATTCACAGGTAAATGGATGGCACTAGAAGAAACCATCCTGATTGAGGTAACCAGTCACAAAAAGACAAACATGGTATGTACTCACTCATATATAGATTTTAGACATGGATCAGGATAGTGACAGTCTGCACTTCCACTGACAGAGAGTCTGGGAAACAGGAAAGAACCTAAGAGAGACATGCATGGTACCACAGAGAAGAGGAATGAGGCAAGATCTTCTGAACAGATTGGGAACACAGCCAGGGGTGGGGGGAGTGGGAGCTGGGAAGAAGAGAGGGGGAGAAGAGGAAGAGAGACTAGGTCATGTGGGAACAGGAAGGTTGAGGGGGGGTAGAATAGGGGGAAGAGAGAATCATAGGTTAGAAGACAGATCAGGCACCAGTAAGACCTCTAGTGATCTAAAGGGATGACACCAACTGGCAAGCTAAGCTGTAAAAGGAAACCTTTTCCTTGTGAGAAAGAAGCCTTCCCGCCAGCCTGGTTCTAGAACCGCATCAGTCCCAAATAAACACACAGGAGGCTATATTAATTATGAAGCTGTTGGCCTTGCTTGTTTCTTACTGGCTAGCTCTGACTTAAGTAATTGCCCCATAATTGTTAATCTAAGTATTTCTCTTACCGGAGAATAGTTCCGGGCTTCCTACCCCATGGCGTTACATCTTGACTCTCTGTGTTTCTTCTTCCCAGAGTTCTCCTGGACTCCTAGTCCCACCTATCTAGATTCCTATTGGCCAGCAGTGATTTATTGACAAATACACAGGA